TGAGGAATGCCTGATACATCAGGAGTGATCTGGATAGTACTCACCGCTGGGCGTGGTGGACGAAGGGGGCAGGCGCGGAGCTGGTGCCCCTGGGACCCACAGTAGAGACATAGGCCATGGGTGAGTCTCCGAGATCGCTCTGAGGATGACAGGCTGTAGCTATCCGTGATCATGGGCTCAGGTGCTGGAGTGGAGAGGCTGGGCGAGGTAGCGGCAGCGGGTATCGCTTCCATACGGCACGCGGTGAGGTGCTGGGAGATGCGAACCACCTTCTGGAGGAAACTGTCGAGGCCCACGGTGTCATCATAGATGGCCATCTGTTGACATAAGCCTGGGTTGAGGCCTCGGCGGAACACCGAGAGCAGGGCGGCCTCGTTCCAGCCGCTGCTGGCGGCGAGTGTGCGGAAGCGCAGCACATACCCGTGGATGGATAACTCGGCTTGCCGCAGTTGAAAGAGCTCCTCATGCACCGTGACTTCCGTGGTCGATTGACCGAACACCTCCCGGAAGTGTTTAACAAAGCCCTCCAGTGAGTGAATCCATGGGCCCTGTGCCGTCCACAAGGCTTTGGCCCACTGCAAGGCTTGTCCCGACAGTAGTGAGATAATGAACGACACCTTGGCCCACTCGGTCACAAACAGGTGCGGTTGCATCTCCAGATAGAGGGAGCATTGCAGCAGGAACCCACTGCAGAGGGCTGCCTCATCCGAGAAGCGGGCTGGCCGGGCCATGGGACAGGCGGGTAGAGAGGTGGTGAAAGTCCGACTGGGTGAGGGTTCCGGTGAGGAGGTGCTCTGAGGATCCATTAGTTTGTGTTGTAATCCATTTAGTTTTGAGGGGCTGGTCTTCTGTCACAACCGGGACAAAGAGGCAGACAGGCAGGGTAACGTTAAGCAGAGAGTTTAATAACAGGAACTCAAGAGAGGGTTCCAACGGAAAAGAGTTCAACATAGGCAGTAAGGGAAGCAAAACACAATCTTATCTGGGTCGGCACTCCGGTCCTTTGGCCGAGAACTGAGGATTCAGAGGGGAACAGGCAGATTGCAAGGCGAGGAACCAGGACAGAAAAGCTTGCAACCTTGAGACCTGCCGATGAGTGAATGAGGTGACTGAGTATTTGAGTGGTGTGGTAAGTGGGTGCAGGTGTCCGTGATCAGTAATCAGGTGATTGTGAGCGGGTGTAGGAGGCTGATTCGGCTGGTGAGGCAGATGTTTCCGTGACATGCGCGAAGTCTGTGGCTTTGCAAATGACTGAATATCTTGTGTCTTTCATGTGGTCTAAAAATATTGGTTGCACAAAACAGACACCTACACAAATTTAGGTGCTAATGCAGTCATTGTTTCGTCTCATGAAATAAACACAGCATAGGACATAATATATGTAATGACTACATCTTAATATACCTGTCTGTTATATATTTATGCCTTACCGCCGCCATGTTCGAGAAGGTCCTGGCTGCAGCCTGCAGAACGGGGCGTGGCTACATGTATCATCCCACCCACAGATCATATAATTGGTTAATGACAAAGTAATGACGCCAGCGCCCTCAACAGGATTTCAGTCTACTTGTTCGTCGCTGCACTGGTGGGTAGATGAGCTATGTGTTTTGTCTAATTTGATTAATTGTAATGTTTGATTACAACATTACGTTCATTATGTCATTAATGAGTGATTGTATAAGGAGATGTGAAATAGTTTAAATAAGATCGGCCTTGTCGTTCACTAGCGCAGTGGTTTCCAACATGGGACCCATGCCCCTTTTAGCGAGGGAACTTGCATTCTTTTAGACAAAAAAATATGGATGTATAAACAACTTTTCTTAGTTTATAAGAATGGTTGAAATGTTTGGCAGCTAATAACAGGGTTTCTGTGGGGCATTGAAAAGCATAAATGTCTTTAAATGGATTTTGCGAAAATTAAGGCGTTAAATGGTATTAAATGTCATTAGATTTATTTGTACAGGCATTAATAAATTTTAGACGGTTTTGAAGAAAAACATTACCAGTTTATTTTGAACATAGCACTTTCATAATTAATCATTTTTTAATTAGCTGTCTTAAAATATGTACTTTGGTGTGATACACACGCAGATGTTTGGATTGGGACTGGTTTGTATACAGTCTATGATTGGGACATGGAGGAGTAAAACTTAGAGCAGAGAATGTACATTTCATAAAGTCAGAAAGAAATGGGGAAGTTCTAACGCTCTTGAGCAATTTCGGCGAGAATGATTCTCATTTTATTACAATCAAGTAAATGATGCTGAAAATTCAGCTTTGAATCACAGGAATGAATTACATTTTAAAATATATTCACATAGAAAACAGTTATTTGTAATGTTTGTGCAGATGAAGCAGAGGATCCAAATGCAGTTCAAAAGGATTTGTTAAACAAAAACACAAAGTAATCCAGACTTAGCCATTGCAAGACGAGACAAGGAGCGCACAAAACAGATCTTTGTCTGTTGTTGTCCTGTAAAGGCTAAGGCAACATGAGGGCTATTAGGCTTGTTCAAGATGAACTACACTAGCCTGTCACCGGCTGGAGAGAGTAGCGGCTTGCAGTCGGGGAGGAGACATCAAGTCAGACACTTTCTGCTCCCGGTACTGACGCTCGCACGGTGTTTGCATACTCTATCACAGATAAAGTGAATTAAATGCAATATTTGAATATACACAGAAACGTTATTATGAGCAACAGAAACACTTCTTATATACTGCTTAATACAGCATCATCTGTTCAAGAATAAAGTTCAACATAAACATATAGGCTACGAACTACTAATAAAGTGCTTTTATCTGTGTTTTTTGATAAAAATGATTCAAGATAACAGTGTGACTACACTAAAAAAGCTTTTACTGTTATAAAAACAGATTTGTGAGCATTATTGTGATTGAATTGTAATAATAAACACACAACACACGTCGTGCTTGTCATCACAGAGTCTAACCAATGAGAATAAAGTGTGTCGTCATCAAGGCTTTCACAGCTGATTTTGAGCAACTGCATTCTGGTCTCGTTTTGCTCTCGCAGTACTTTGGCACATTTGTTCATAAGGCGGCTGCAGCACTGATCGAAGTCGGACAAATGTTCTAACCAGAATGCATTGCTTTTGTCAGGCGGCAGCCGATCGTTGCGGAGCTACATTAAGTCGAACAAGCCTATTTATATCAAACAAAGAGGGTCACATGACAAGAACCTACCAAAGAAAAACAAGACACATGACTCAGACAACCAATGAGAGCATGACACATACACAAGGTAGGAATACATAAGGATCAAGGGAATCAAATGACTATGACAAAATAAGAGACATGAAAACAATGAACATGAAACAAATCCCCAAAACAGACATGGCATTACTTTAATGTCTTCCAAGAGGAATTATTTTACCACTGATTGGCCAACGCAGAAGTTATTTCACCAATTAGAAGCTTGGCTGAAAGCAGCACCAGCGCAACCTGTGGGCGGGACTTATCAATGTGCCGCTACTATTGGCTCTTAGGGAAGTCTGTCACTTCAGTGAGATCAATGATTGGATTAAGCTTTTTTTCCCTTCTGGACCACTCCTTTTTCCTTTAATTTACTTTCTTAAACTTTTAAACTATAAATACTTATATATTTTTAACTTCTTACTGGCTGCCTGGGTTACCTGGGCTAAAAAGTCTTAATTAACTCAGCAAAAAAGAGTGGGAAACTCCTGCCAACTAAATAAAATTTAGCTAAAGGCTGATTATTTCTGTTTTAATTTGATATATTGGGGTCTTTTATGCATTTTATGTACCTTTTCGCAAAATTAAAGTAGTCGAATTATGTTGTTAAAGTTTGAGAAATAGATTGTTCCTGTTTATCTGATGGTTTTCAGTAAAAAAAATTAATAGATAAATAAAAAGATTTCATAACTGCATGTGTTGTTTTTCTTTGCATGTCCCAGCATTATTAGCACGTTTAAATAAGAACACTATATTAATGACCTAAATTAAAATGAACAAAAACATTTTTTATTAACATCAGCATAGATTAATAAATGCTATAAAATATATTATTCATTGTTAGTTCCTGTTACTTAATGCATTAACTAATGTTATCAAATGAAACCTTACTGCCCTCTTGCTGAGAAATGGTATTTGCACATTGTCGTTTACAGCACGTGGGGTGCACAACTAAATAAAATCAAACTTTCTGAGTAGCTGTAACGTGCCGAATAAGATGACTGAATCTACATTGCTGTATTCTGAAATCATTTGTTGCATCCATAATAATGGTTTGAATTTAAGTATATTAATCACATTACTGTAGGCATGAACAAAAATGTTTTACACTTGTAAAAATATAAATTTTCCTCAAAACATATACTTCACAGACACTGCAGAGTAGTTACAGTTGAAGTTACAATATTGCAATTAAAGTGTACTTACAAAAGTGTACTTACAACGTACAACTAACATATACAAGACAAGTACACTATTATAACTACAGACTGAAGATGCAGGTACTTTAAATGTAAGTACAATTAAAGAACATGAAGGTACAGCATCAAGTGCTTAATGTGTCATGTAAGTTCCTAGTTGTTAAGAACACCTAATATAAAGTGGGACAAACAAGAGAGTAGCCTAGTGTTTTAGTTTGCCCTCCTCCCCCTGGATACAGCAGTGTCACAGTGAGGGTTACATTCTGAGTGGAGGATGTGTTTATCAAACTGAAACTAAGCTTTAGCCTGCACTCATTCACCTCGGCTGAAGTTCCTCTGTCATCGACAAACATGGAGCTCTATCTGGCCATTCTTACCCTCACTGCTTTTCTCTCAGCTGATGCTCAGTGTAAGTTCATTCTTTGCATATTAACATATTTACACAGATTTTTAATATGAAAAGCCTGTACACGGATGTAATATTTTCACGAAGAACACTAATTCCAAAAGTTTGGCATCAGTACAATTTTTTATGTTTTATTTTTTTTTAAAAGAAGTTATGCTCATCAAGGCTGCAATTATTTGATAAAAACTTCTATTTTAATATATTGTAAACTGTAATGTATTTCTGTGATGCGCAGCTGTATTTTCAGCATCATTACTCCAGTCTTCAGTGTCACATGATCTTCAGAAATCATTCTGATCCACCTTATTCTTCAATGCAGAAGTAAGTTTATGTGTGAGAGAGGTTCAGTAGCCGCTGTAGGGAAATAACCAGAACAATAACCACGTGCAGTAAAACTCTTGCACTGCAAACCAGTGTATTCATAATTAAGACAATACATAATAATATACAATTATTAACAAAATAATATGGTAAGACACAGCAATTCTCAATATCAAGCAGCAAAACGAGTGGTATTGTAAAAAATAGCGGGACACGGATGACACCAGAAGCAAGACACATTACATTTACAAATGTCTGCGCTCGCTCTTGTGGGAAGAAAGAGCTGGATATGCTGATTTATTGATGTTTATTGATGTTGATTGCTGTTTAATATTTTAATGAAACCTGTGGTACTTTCTAAGTCTAAAAGCATTTATTCAAAATAGAAATCTTTCCTAACTGTGCAAATCTTTACTATCACTTTTTATTAATCCAACTCATTCTTGCTGAATAAAAATGTATACATTTATTTAAAAAAGAAAATAGTAAATAGTGACCCCAAACTTTTGAATGGTGGTGTACATTGTTACAAAAGATTTCTAAATGCACTTTTTGGCAACACTTTATTTTAAAGTGTCCTTGTTACATGTATTTACGATTATAATAATAAATAAAAAAGCATAATTACATGCAGGTAACCCTAATCATATCACCAATCTTAACAATATAGTAAGTGCATGTAGTTTATTATTATTACTCAGTACTTAATTGTATAATTACACTGTAACAAGGACACCTTAAAATAAAGTGTAACCCTGTTGTATATTTACTTCACTCACCATGTTAGGTTAACTAGTCATCAGCTGTTTGACTGGTCAGTGGTTGACTATAAGTGGTCATTTAGCATATTGGGTGTTAACAACACCTGTATAGAACATCTTCACATTTAGAAACGGCTGGTGCTTTAGAGAATTGCCAAAAAAAAAATAAAGGTTTTGTGTTAATTCCCAAAACACATTAGTTATATCTGATATGCAGTTAATTTGTCTGGGACTCTGTGAGTTTCTCGTTTATCTGTTGATGCTTCTTCCGTTTCAGTAGAGCATAAGGATTTCTCAATCACTGGATGTTCTGAAACAGAGAAAGAGTCTATGACTGGATCTGACGGACAGGAGGCGTGGCATGCTGACTTTAATCAGAAGACAGGAGTAGTTACATTACCTGATTTTGCAGATCCTATGAGCTTTCCAGGATATTATGAAGAAAGTGTTGCAGAGCAAGACGTATGCAAACAAAACCTGGCTGTACTCATTAAAGCTTACGAGAGCCCACCAGAGGAATTGGGTACGACATGAATTTGCACTGTGAAGCTTTTTTAAAGTAGAGTTTTACAGTAATGCATTTCTTTAACAGAAATTAAATGATTTTAATAACTACATGTTATGCATTCAGTGTATTCAATATTTTGGTTAACCATGAGTTTTGACTTGCAATTGTATTAAACATGTATGATATCAGTGTTCTTATGCACGCATTTCATTTGAATGAGGTCAGATGTACTGCTGCAGAGTTCAACACAGTTATGTGTGTTCACAGACCCTCCTGAGACGTTCATCTATTCGAGGAACGATGTGCAGCTGGCTGTTGAAAACACGCTCATCTGTCACGTGACGGACTTCTTTCCTCCACCTGTCAGCGTCTCATGGGCTAAGAACAATGTGATTGTGACAGAAGACGTGAGTCTGAGTCAGTATCGGCCAAGGAGCGACGGATCCTTCCACGTGTTCTCTTCCCTGAAGATCACTCCTGAAGATGGAGATGTTTACAGCTGCACAGTGAACCACCAAGCGCTCCAGGGCCAAAAATAAAACCCGCCCTCTACTTGATATTCATTTCCATACATCACCATACTGAAATAAAGTTGGCAGCAGCTTCCGGTTCACACAGACTTTAAAATATTCTAGCTGAGCCCCAGTGTTAGTGTTACGTCCATAGGGACGTATATTTATTTGTAATACCATTATTGTTCTTGAATTTGTTTCATTGTTGTTAACAAAGGTGTGGACATGTTTGTTTTTGCTCTGTCTCTCTCTGCTGCTCCTCAGGGCAAATCGCCACCACCTGTACCTCGTTTGTGAGAGCGTGCCCAAGAGGATATTGAGTTTGCTAGGAGACACACTTCTCCCCTGCTCCAGACTGAACTTTGTGCTTGTTTTTCATGGAGAGACAATGGTTGTGTATTAGCAGTGTCTAATTGAGTTTCAGCATGCACAGTTAATGGATAATTTTCCAGGTTGAGATTGAGCAAAAAGTCTTGTGGCTCTTTTGTCTCGAGTGATTTTAAATACTAGCCTGTGTGTTAAGATGGATGCTGTAGGGGGAGAGTGCCTTTTTCTTTTTATACTGCTTTTTGCCTCTGTTTTTGTACAGCAAGGGAGGTGAGGGAAGTTGGCTGTTCATTTATTTTATTTTATTTATGGTTAGTTAGAGCTCCTTCTTAAATTAGTTAGTGAACTATTTTGTTTGTTATTTTAGGCTTTGCTTTTCCCTGAGCCTTTGCTCCCATTGTTCTTTTCTGTCTTGTAAATAAAGTTTATTTCTGTTTATATATATCAACTGGTGTCATCTTCACTCTGGGCCAGAGGATTGAAGTGTGTTCTCGCTTTTCATTTCCTCTATACTTTTTTTTCTTCTTCTCTGTTACTTCCCCTTCTGACCCCTGGACGCTCGGGGGAACATAACAAGTGGGGGTTCGTCCCATACTTTTTTCAAATTTAGTTGTTGTGGTGAGTAGCATTTTTCTCTTTTCTCTCTAATCGCGTGTTTTGGCCTTTTGTGTGGGGAGGAAGATCTCTGTGGTGGTAGAAATGGAGTTTGACCCTTGAGGATGGAGAACATCCTGTAGTTCCAGCAGAGGCCGTGACAGAGGACATTCTTCCTGATACAGATATTGTTGAGAATGACGATCATGATCCGTTCCTGGCCATTCGTTTAAAAGAACTAAACCACACGTCTAGATTTGCAAGCTGGGGAGATGAGCAGGAAACCTGTTCCTGTTCCCACTGCCTCTCTTATTCCGCCTGTTAATGCAAGTGTTGATCAGGAAAACCTTGAGTTTGACGTTAGTAAGTATATCAAACTCGTACCTCCTTTTTGTGAGTCTGAGGTCGATGCTTACTTTAGGGCCTTTCTCACCGCTTTAGTTCCAGAACTAAATGTACAGTACTAAAGTACTGGGACGATTTTGCATGAACTATTTCCCAGTACTATTTAAAGGGTTGCATTCGCACCGACAGTGTGTACTAGGAAGTGACGTAAGCCGGTCGACAGCGACGTCATTTGTGCGCGGCGTTCAACAACAGAAACAAAGAAGAACTACATTAACAACAGGAGGATGGAGGACGCTGTGATCGGAGCTGTGTGTTTGTTGTGTCTCGCGGGTTTCACAATAATGGACATGGAAAGTCGACGTATACGTAAAGCGATTGAAAGAACGGAAAGGAGGACTAAGAATCTCCAACGACAACTGGCCGTGCTACATTTGCTACAAGTGCCTGCACTTCAGCGTCCGTCCATCTATCGCTGTTCTCCATACTTGCGAAATAAGTTGACACAATGTTTACAGCATGTTTACACTGCGTTTTAAATCATGGCAGGTGAGGGCGTTTTCGTACGCGTTTGGCCAATCAATGTCTACTTACAACACGATTAGTACCAGTTGTGCTGGTCAGACCCTGCTCCGGAGTAGGAGCTAATTTGGTTCTCGAAAAAGGCTGTCCGGTACTAAAATCACTCCCAGTTCCGGCGGTGCGAAAACGCCAAAAAGTGGGTAGTTCCACAATTAGTTCTTGTATTATGAAAAGGTTCCAGTGGTGCGAAAGGCCCTTTTGTTGCTTTTAAGCTGGTAGCAGGTAAGTGTCGCTGGTCGAAGAACATGTGCGCATTGTTCCTACAATGCAGTCTGACAGGCAAAGTTCAAGAAACTTGCACGGCATTGCCAATTGAGTGAAGTTTTGATTATGACATTGTTAAAGTCGCTGTTCTCAGGGCATACAAATAGTTTTTTTAAGGAGACCATTATTTTTAATTTGATTTGATTCAATGCAATGCAATTAATGGAAAATTTATGATGCTATGCAATTCCACATTATCTGCACTGACAATGTGTCTGCGCTTCAAGTGTGTTGTTAAATTTGTCGTACTGCATGTATATTTTATAGCAGCATGACATATTTTACAAATTGCATGGGTTTTATCAAAATCTCCATATCTTATAAAACCTAAAGTTATTCCAAACACTGGATTTGCAGTTATTTGGTGGAAGATGCAGCTATACCTCTGCCATGTTAATATATGATCTATGTGACTCTCAGGACACGCCTCAGTCTCTGTAGTGTTGAGATGCATCATATTCACGCAGCAGCAGCGGGGATGAGAGGACATGCTTGAGAAACGGCTTCGAGAGGAGAAATCAATCTACGTAGAAAATACTGTATAATAATTACATATAAATAAACTAGTTTTTACTGATGCAAATGTTAAAAACAATGCATCGCCATACAAATGCCGACTTGTATCCAATCCCTAATAGGTATGTCTGGGCTGTTTTAAATATTTAAGAAAATAGTTAATGTATTATAGTTATTATGAGTTGTTTGGGTTGGGGGTAAATTAAACACGATCCGCGGTGACGTCATAATCATTTTACATTGTGGTCTATGGATCGGCCTGCAGTGTGCATATGAAACACTCACTTTCTCAGTCAAGATCGAGAGGTCGAGGCTCTGTCCATATAAACTTCCCTCGTCCACTTCACGAAGAGTAACACACTTCAGAATGGCAGCAGGATTCACCTGAGAGTAAGTGCTTAGGGAAGTTCACGAGTGTGTGTCTAAAAGGGAAGTGGTAGTTATAAAATGAAAGCAGGATATTACTTGGCAACACGTGACACATAAGTAAACCATGTCTGATTGGACAGTTGTTTTAGACCCTTATGACTTGATCATGAACAGAGTATTGTCTGCTCTCAGTTGTGATAGAGCGAGTGAACATGTCCGTGCCAAAGCTCTGGAGTCTCCATCACATTCTCCTGCTGTCTGTATTCACCGGCGCAGGTGAGAGAAATGGGCTTTACTAACTGACACTGAAGAAATGAGCATTATTACAGTAGTAGTGCTGGTGAGGATATATTGTTGTTTTTGGTATTTAACAGTGCTGGTCAAATTTAACAGCGACTTTTTCTTAAACGCTGTTAGTTATGATGGTTCTGTTAGTGGACCCTCCAGTGTAGTAAAGTAGAGGTACATATATTTTAATAATATGAATGTGACATGTTGATTTAGAAAGGACATCCCATTAATAACAACAACTGGCTGATGTGTTCAAGTGCTTGTGTTTTTGTTTGATTGTTTTTCAGCTAATGGATATTATAACTACCGTTGGCCACAGTGCATCTACAGCTCCAGTGATTTCAGTGACATGGTGTTCTTGGATGGCTATTACTTCAATAAATATCTGTACGTACAGTTCAACAGCACTGTGGGGGAGTTTGTGGGGTTTACTGAGTTTGGAGTGAGAACTGCAGAGATGTGGAACAAAGATCCAACAATCATACAGCAATTAAAGGCTGAAGTTGAAACATTCTGTAAACCTAATGCTGAACTGTTCAAAACAGCTATCCATGATAAAGCAGGTATGTGACTCAAGACTCACACAGAGCTCTTCATTTAAACAGTTATATAATTTTTAAAGGAAAATATTTATCTAATATCAAGCACATTTGAAATGGTGTAATGGTAATGTTTATTGTAAGATGTAATTGTGCTCCTCCTGGTTCAGTGGCTCCAGTTGTGAAGCTGAGTTTAGTGAAGCAGGGAGACAGCAGACATCCATCGCTGCTGATGTGCAGTGCGTATGACTTCTACCCTGAGCAAATCAGTGTGTCCTGGCTGAGGGACGGTGTAGTGGTGACTTCTGACGTGACCTCCACTGACAAGATGCCTAACGGAGACTGGTACCACCAGATTCACACTCAGCTGGAGTACACTCCCAAAGCTGGAGAGAAGATCTCCTGTATGGTGGAGCATGCCGGCTTCACCAAACCCATGATCTATGACTGGAGTAAGAGAGAGGACTCTGACATACCAATATATTGCATTCATCACACAATAAGAGAAAATATGGAAACTGTCCAGATGTTAAATCTCATCCTGCTAAACAAAAAAACAATAAATGACAGTAAGACAGTAAATGCTGTGATAATAGAGTGATGCGTGTTCCTCACAGACCCTCCTCTGCCTGAGTTTGAGTGGAATACACCGCTGTTATTCACTGCTGGGGCTGCTGGACTGATGCTGGGAATCATCATGGCAGCTTCTGGATTCATTTACTACAAGTCAACATCAACAGGTCTGTGAGTTATGGAACAACACTATACATGTCATGGCATGCTATTTTTAAGCTAATTACTCTTCTTATTTTGATAGATGAGATCCTAGTACTTCATTAATGGTGGTGAGTTTTACATTCCATTCGGATTACCTTATTTCTGTGTGATCAAACATATTAATGAATTACTGAACAATCCACCCCATTAACATGAATAATAATCAGACTGAATAGCAGGTCCTCATCCAGACTGAAAGACGCCTCATCATGGAGAGAAACACTCTTCATGACACAAAATAACAATCATGATGCAGATAGAAGCTCAGCAGCATATCTGATGTGTTACAGCTAATATTTCAGCATCATTATGCAGTATTGACAGTGATGATGCTTGAAGTTTGTTTGCTCTGGGAAATTCACAGGTATATAGTTCATTTGTTTAGCTGTGTAAACAACTCAGTAAATGGTGTTTTCTGTGCTGTGTTACTGATCTAGCTGATACCAATTTGCGGCTAATCGAGATATCATGAGGGCAGTATTACGGTATTATAGAGTATTGTTTACTGTGCTTGGAAAAATGGAACAAACTGTTTTGTCTAAAACTTGTTTAAAAAGCTACAATTGTTTTCGGACAGTGTATGGGACATCATACGTGGCTACACATCATGTAACTCTTTCACTTTCTACTTGTGGCCAAGTCTGTGGAACAAAAGTAGATGACAGCGAAACATCAGTATTCTGTGTGCTGAGAATAAAACATTGTGACATTCTCTAATTATATTCAGTTATTTGTATTATCTTAGGCTTTATATTCTGTGTCTATATGTTTTAAATTGTTGGATTTTTTTTTTTTGTGGACTTTCAAGATGGTTTTTCTTTCTTTTTTGCGAAGTCAGTGACATTCATTAATGTGACTTCTCTGTCCCTCACAGTCAGACATAGAGCAAAATATTGTGTCAGGGGAAGGTCTTTAAACTCAAATCAAGAAATTAAGTGCTGTCTAAAGGTGCTTTTGAACCATTTTGCATGAAGAATGACGAAAACTTGTCTGAGCCTGAGCACAGCTCCTATGGAGTTCTGAACGGCCAATCGCCGTTAGTTCATAAATTATCATACGTAGAGAGTTCTAATATTTAATTTGCATGATTGGTTTTACACAGCATTATTCATCTAAAGTGGATGGTGGTTTTACAGAGGGGATGCTTCTTGTCAATTTTTTCAACAATTTGAGCCCTGTACAGAATAACTCTGGTTTTGCTGTGTGTGAGGCTCAGGACAGTGGGCTCAAACTCAGCTGCAGAGTTTAGCTCCAGCCCTGCTGCAACACACAGACCTGTAGTTTTCAGGCTTTCCTGAAGCCCTGTATTAGTCCACTGTATTGTGACCCTCCAGGAACTGATTTTGACACCCCTGTCTTAGGACTTTTCCAAACTGCTTCAACTTGAGTGTTACTTTGACACGTTGATTAGGGTTGGCACCAGGGCTCTCAAGTTATAGCAACATTTTGGAGTGAGATTAGCAGAGGGGCCACTCAAATATTTGCAGCACCCAATTCTCTCAAGTTTTCAATAGCAGTTCAATTTGACCTATTGTTCATAATTGATCGGAACAAATAGAAATGATAACAACTGGTAAATCTGATTTTAAAAAAAAAATGTAAAAAGGTTTATGTATTTCAAAAATACAAATGTATCAGGAAAAAAAATTAATAAATTTGTTCAAACCCACCATGGAGAACACACTCTCTGCTGTGGGGTGGAGAAGCCACAGTGCTTTAAGTGGGAGCCCCCTATCCCTGTCATCAAAATGTGCAACAAACACTAATGACAAAAAACAACAACAACATTCATAAGCTGAAATATGTACTCTCTCTCTCTCAGTCACGGAATGCCAGGAGAGACAAGGTAAGATCCAGTTGCAGTTTATTGAAAGTAACAAAATAATCAAAACAGAACAAAAACGTGGCAAAAGGTAATCCAAAACGCAAGGAACAGATACGATCAGACATGAGATGACAAATACAAAATAGCAGCAATGACAGACAGAGTGAGCAAGGTATATATAGCTGGGATAATGAGTAAATGACTAACAGGTGATAATGATCGGAAATAATAAACAGGTGCTAATGATCAGACAGAATGACAGACAAGGGACTGTGGGAAATGGAGTTCACAGCATGTAACACAAAAACAGGAGAGCGCCCTCAAGTGGCCAGTCCAGGGCACCACAACCAGACACTGTGACACTCACTCTCTCTCTCTCTCTCACACACACACACACACACAGCTTGACATACATCCGCAGAGAAAGTTCTGCAATCCAACTGTATGTGTACAGTATGCACATAGTGCATAGAGCACTGCTGTTCAGTTGGCTCGTTTGGGGCCAAATGTCTTTTTATTTTTTATGCTTTTTTAAAATAAATTTATAAAACAATTTATTTTATTTGTCTTTTATCAGATTTAACCATTGTTATAACATTGCTAGTACTTTCCTTAGTTTCTGGTAGCCAAAGCTAAGTTAAAGGGGTGGTTGATTGCGATTTCACTTTTTTAACATTAGTTAGTGTGTAATGTTGCTGTTTGAGCATAAACAATATCTGCAAAGTTACGAAGCTGAAAGTTCAATGCAAACGGAGATATCGTCTTTTAAAATTCTGGCAGTTGAATGCCTACAAAAACGGCTGGTAGAGACTACAACGAGTTACTTCCCGGGTTTGTGACATCACAAACCCTGACAAACACCGCCTCCGGGAACATGCAGCAAAGGGCCATGCTGTGCTGCTTTAGAGAAGAGAAAGAGAAAACTAGGGGTGCATGTAAAAATCTATTCATACATGAATCGCGATTCTGTCTTCTAATGATTCTAATGGATTCACAAGTTTCAAAATCAATGTTCTAAAGCAGCGGTTCTTAATACTGTTCCTCGCGTCCTCTGCTCTGCGCACGCTCTGCATCTCTCTCTCTCTCTCTCTCTCTCTCTCTCTCTCTCTCTCTCTCTCTCTCTCATTCAGCTCAGCTCCAACAATGAACTGTTCCAATTATACACTTATTTTCACATTGCTATGAAGTTGAAAGCTTTTTTTAAATCAATAAAACATGTCAATATGTTTCTTTGTTTGCCCTTTAGATTTTTGTTGATTAGAGTGTGGAGAGAATAGATGTGGTCGGATGTACGTTGTTTTGGTAAAAAGCCAATTTGTGATTTATTTAGGATGTTGTGTCTTGTGAGGAATGTCACTATGCGGCTGTTTATTATATTGCAGAAAAGCTTTGCTAGGCTACTGCCGACACTAATGCCGCGGTAATTACTGGGATCGAATTTATCTCCCTTTTTGTATATAGGTGTGATCAGTCCTTCAGACCAGGTCTCAGGGAAGTCACCAGAGGATAAGATCAGATTGAATAATTTTGCCAGAGCTTGAATTATGTAAGGGCTGCTGATTTTGAGCATTTCATTGCTGATGTTGTCTTGTCCACATGCCTTCTTTAATTTGAGATTTTTAATGTGCTCTGTTATTTCTGATGTTGTTATAATCATGTCCAGTGGGTTTTGGTAATTTTTTGTTGTTTTCTTTAAATCTTCTAGTTTTCTCTTTGTTTTTGTTTGGGGCTGGTTGAGGTCTGGTTCTAGTTTTTGGTAAAGAGTTTTAAAGTAAGACCTCCAGACTGTGCCACACTGGAGGAATGCGTCTGATTTGGGGCTTTCACATTTTTTAAAGAGATTCCAGAAATTGTTTTGGTCTATTGATTCATCGATTTCATCAATTTTAGCGTCATAATATTGATCTCTTTTGTTGCAAATTAGCTTTTTATAATTTTTCAAACAGTTGGAGTAGGCGAGCCGTAGTGTCTGATTGGCCGGTTCTTTATGCTTTTTGTTAGCAAGCCATCGAAGGTCTTTTCTGAGACAATTGCCTTCCTTATCAAACCACATATTCTTTTGTTTATTCAATATTCAAACATTGTTCTATGTTTGTTTTGTTGTTTAATATTAGATATAGTGGCCAAAGTTTGAAATATATAATTAAGATTGGATGTTGCTGATTTTATCCCGTTAGTATCTGGAGTGAAATCTGTGGACATAAAGTCGTCCAGCATTTTTAGCATTGCAGAGCTGCTCATGTTTTCTTTGAATTGTTCCGTGTTAGATTGGTTCCAGCTGAGTTTTGATTTTAAGGGGAAGAGTTTGTCATGTTTGAGGGGAGTTCTGACCCGGTCACAGGACTGTTTCAGGTAAAGGACTGTTTGGCAGTGGTCAGAAATGGGAAGTTGAGGTCTAACTGTAAAGGCATTAATCAAATCTGGGTCAATGTCTATAATTGAATAATGGACTACACTGGCTCCTAATCTGGAGCAGTAAGTAAATCTACCAAAGGGATCTTCCTTGATTCTGCCATTTATGATATCCAGCCCTAGACCTTTAAAAAAAGTTTTAATATCTGCTTCCCGTTTATGTTGATTACATTGTCACAGCTGGTTCTCAGAGTAATGACTGGTGTTGACTGGGACATGATGTCCCCAAATATGTGACCATTATCTGTGGTATTTACATAATCAATTTCTCTCCCAGTCCTTGCATTTAGGTCACCACATATGAGAATATTTCCTTTGGATTGAAAGTGTAGGATGTCTCTTTGCACCTGGAGAAAGCACTCTTCTTGGTAGTAGGGAGAATCATGAGGTGGTATATAAATAGCACAGAGGTAAAGATTTCTCTGTGGCAGGATAGATTTTACTTCAAGCCAAATCAGTGAATTTTCAGTTTTGACCGTTTTAATCAAGTGTTTTAGATGATCTTTGTGCCATATAAGTATGCCACCTGAATCACGACCACATTTTATTTGGGTTTTTTTTTAGTGAGGGCACAGTGATTTCTCTGTATCCTCTTGGACAGTGCAAGGTCTCATTACTCCGATACCATGTCTCATTAAATATAGCAGTGTCTATGTCTTTTATATTACTAAGTAAGTCTTGGTCTGCAGTCTTGTCTCCAAAAGATGAAGAATGCAAACCCTGTATATTCCAACAGCTAATTCTAAACGATTTCATAGATAAGATACAGTAAAGTGTGTGAAGGTATTACTCTTGTAATGAAATTAACTATTTATTTTTATTTTGTAAGGGAATTAATTATTATTATTTTAGCTCAGGTTTTGAGAGGAATCAAATCTGAAGATTCGAAGCCAACCTGATTAGAACTGATTTCATATTTGATAGTTTACACTTTATCAACTGTTCGTCCAGCGAGACGTTAACATGCGTGCATCTTAACAATTTGAATATTTGTATTATCCCTGGCCACAGGTTAATACATGCTTTTGATAAGTTATAAGCTACGAGCTAGGTAACGTGATCTGGGCAAGGTTTAACTTTAAATTCACGACACATGACAATACTTCTTTATAAATGAAACAAGAATTTATTGGCTATTCTAGATTACATTAAACTAAGCTAAAACACACACACACACACACACACACATACACACAACAGGTTCAGGAAAATGAGTTAACAGAGTTTACATGAAGTTCCCACAGTTCTAACACTCATTTTCCACAAGTTCTTTAAATTCAACCTGAGAAAATCAAAAAGAATAGATTTGTCTTACGTTTACTGCTTAATTAGTTCAGCACCGATTTCAGCAGAGAGAAGACCTTGGCTGCGTCCGAAACTGCCTACTTCTCTACTATATAGTAGGTGAAAAGCAGTAGGTGAGCGAATAAGTACGTCCTAATCCTCAGTATTCATAAAAGAGTAGTCGAGAATTACCTGTGTGACGTACTAATTCTCGCGAGATTCGGACACACGTCTACTTAAAGTGTGTCCGAAACCACCTACTTCTCTACTATATAGTAGGCGAAAAGCAGTAGCCGAGCGAATAAATATGTCCGAAACCTCAGTATTCATAAAAGAGTAGGCAAGAATTACCTGGGTGACGTACTACTTCTCGCGAGATTCGGACACACGTCTACTTAAAGTGCATCCGAAACCGCCTACTTCTCTACTATATAGTAGGGGAAAAGCAGTAGACGAGCGAATAAATATGTCCGAAACCTCAGTATTCATAAAAGAGTAGGCGAGAATTACCTGGTGTTTTAGATGATCTTTGTGCCATATAAGTATGATGCACGACCACATTTTATTTGGGGTTTTTTTGTGAGGGCACAGTGATTTCTCTGTATCCTCTTGGACAGTGCAAGGTCTCATTACTCCGATACCATGTCTCATTAAATATAGCAGTGTCTATGTCTTTTATATTACTAAGTAAGTCTTGGTCTGCAGTCTTGTCTCCAAAAGATGAAGAATGCAAACCCTGTATATTCCAACAGCTAATTCTAAACGATTTCATAGATAAGATACAGTAAAGTGTGTGAAGGTATTACTCTTGTAATGAAATTAACTATTTATTTTTATTTTGTAAGGGAATTAATTATTATTATTTTAGCTCAGGTTTTGAGAGGAATCAAATCTGAAGATTCGAAGCCAACCTGATTAGAACTGATTTCATATTTGATAGTTTACACTTTATCAACTGTTCGTCCAGCGAGACGTTAACGTCCATGTATCTTAACAATTTGAATATTTGTATTATCCCTGGCCACAGGTTAATACATGCTTTTGATAAGTTATAAGCTACGAGCTAGGTAACGTGATCTGGGCAAGGTTTAACTTTAAATTCACGACACATGACAATACTTCTTTATAAATGAAACAAGAATTTATTGGCTATTCTAGATTACATTAAACTAAGCTAAAACACACACACACACACACACACACATACACACAACAGGTTCAGGAAAATGAGTTAACAGAGTTTACATGAAGTTCCCACAGTTCTAACACTCATTTTCCACAAGTTCTTTAAATTCAACCTGAGAAAATCAAAAAGAATAGATTTGTCTTACGTTTACTGCTTAATTAGTTCAGCACCGATTTCAGCAGAGAGAAGACCTTGGCTGCGTCCGAAACTGCCTACTTCTCTACTATATAGTAGGTGAAAAGCAGTAGGTGAGCGAATAAGTACGTCCTAATCCTCAGTATTCATAAAAGAGTAGTCGAGAATTACCTGTGTGACGTACTAATTCTCGCGAGATTCGGACACACGTCTACTTAAAGTGTGTCCGAAACCACCTACTTCTCTACTATATAGTAGGCGAAAAGCAGTAGCCGAGCAAATAAGTATGTCCGAAACCTCAGTATTCATAAAAGAGTAGTCAAGATTTACCTGGGTGACGTACTAATTCTCGTGAGATTCAGACACGCATCTACTTAAAGTGCATCCGAAACCGCCTTCTTCTCTACTATATAGTAGGGGGAAAGCAGTAGCCGAGCGAATATGTATGTCCGAGTCGTTAGTATTCATAAAAGAGTAGGCGAGAATTACCTGGATGACGTACTAATTCTCGCGAGATTCGAGTATTCATAAAAGAGTAGGTGAGAATTACCTGGGTGACGTACTAATTCTCGCGAGATTCGGACACGCGTCTACTTAAAGTGTGTCCGAAACCGCCTACTTCACTTCAATATAGTAGGGGGAAAGCAGTAGTCGAGCGAATAAGTATGTCCGAATCCTTAGTATTCATAAAAGAGTAGGCGAGAATTACCTGGGTGATGTACTAATTCTCGCGAGATTCGGACACGCGTCTACTTAAAGTGTGTCCGAAACCGCCTACTTCACTTCAATATAGTAGGGGGAAAGCAGTAGTCGAGCGAATAAGTATGTCCGAATCCTTAGTATTCATAAAAGAGTAGGCGAGAATTACCTGGGTGATGTACTAATTCTCGCGAGATTCGGACACGCGTCTACTTAAAGTGTGTCCGAAACCGCCTACTTCACTTCAATATAGTAGGGGGAAAGCAGTAGTCGAGCGAATAAGTATGTCCGAATCCTTAGTATTCATAAAAGAGTAGGCGAGAATTACCTGGGTGATGTACTAATTCTCGCGAGATTCGGACACGCGTCTACTTAAAGTGTGTCCGAAACCGCCTACTTCACTTCAATATAGTAGGGGGAAAGCAGTAGTCGAGCGAATAAGTATGTCCGAATCCTTAGTATTCATAAAAGAGTAGGCGAGAATTACCTGGGTGATGTACTAATTCTCGCGAGATTCGGACACGCGTCTACTTAAAGTGTGTCCGAAACCGCCTACTTCACTTCAATATAGTAGGGGGAAAGCAGTAGTCGAGCGAATAAGTATGTCCGAATCCTTAGTATTCATAAAAGAGTAGGCGAGAATTACCTGGGTGATGTACTAATTCTCGCGAGATTCGGACACGCGTCTACTTAAAGTGTGTCCGAAACCGCCTACTTCACTTCAATATAGTAGGGGGAAAGCAGTAGTCGAGCGAATAAGTATGTCCGAATCCTTAGTATTCATAAAAGAGTAGGCGAGAATTACCTGGGTGATGTACTAATTCTCGCGAGATTCGGACACGCGTCTACTTAAAGTGTGTCCGAAACCGCCTACTTCACTTCAATATAGTAGGGGGAAAGCAGTAGTCGAGCGAATAAGTATGTCCGAATCCTTAGTATTCATAAAAGAGTAGGCGAGAATTACCTGGGTGATGTACTAATTCTCGCGAGATTCGGACACGCGTCTACTTAAAGTGTGTCCGAAACCGCCTACTTCACTTCAATATAGTAGGGGGAAAGCAGTAGTCGAGCGAATAAGTATGTCCGAATCCTTAGTATTCATAAAAGAGTAGGCGAGAATTACCTGGGTGATGTACTAATTCTCGCGAGATTCGGACACGCGTCTACTTAAAGTGTGTCCGAAACCGCCTACTTCACTTCAATATAGTAGGGGGAAAGCAGTAGTCGAGCGAATAAGTATGTCCGAATCCTTAGTATTCATAAAAGAGTAGGCGAGAATTACCTGGGTGATGTACTAATTCTCGCGAGATTCGGACACGCGTCTACTTAAAGTGTGTCCGAAACCGCCTACTTCACTTCAATATAGTAGGGGGAAAGCAGTAGTCGAGCGAATAAGTATGTCCGAATCCTTAGTATTCATAAAAGAGTAGGCGAGAATTACCTGGGTGATGTACTAATTCTCGCGAGATTCGGACACGCGTCTACTTAAAGTGTGTCCGAAACCGCCTACTTCACTTCAATATAGTAGGGGGAAAGCAGTAGTCGAGCGAATAAGTATGTCCGAATCCTTAGTATTCATAAAAGAGTAGGCGAGAATTACCTGGGTGATGTACTAATTCTCGCGAGATTCGGACACGCGTCTACTTAAAGTGTGTCCGAAACCGCCTACTTCACTTCAATATAGTAGGGGGAAAGCAGTAGTCGAGCGAATAAGTATGTCCGAATCCTTAGTATTCATAAAAGAGTAGGCGAGAATTACCTGGGTGATGTACTAATTCTCGCGAGATTCGGACACGCGTCTACTTAAAGTGTGTCCGAAACCGCCTACTTCACTTCAATATAGTAGGGGGAAAGCAGTAGTCGAGCGAATAAGTATGTCCGAATCCTTAGTATTCATAAAAGAGTAGGCGAGAATTACCTGGGTGATGTACTAATTCTCGCGAGATTCGGACACGCGTCTACTTAAAGTGTGTCCGAAACCGCCTACTTCACTTCAATATAGTAGGGGGAAAGCAGTAGTCGAGCGAATAAGTATGTCCGAATCCTTAGTATTCATAAAAGAGTAGGCGAGAATTACCTGGGTGATGTACTAATTCTCGCGAGATTCGGACACGCGTCTACTTAAAGTGTGTCCGAAACCGCCTACTTCACTTCAATATAGTAGGGGGAAAGCAGTAGTCGAGCGAATAAGTATGTCCGAATCCTTAGTATTCATAAAAGAGTAGGCGAGAATTACCTGGGTGATGTACTAATTCTCGCGAGATTCGGACACGCGTCTACTTAAAGTGTGTCCGAAACCGCCTACTTCACTTCAATATAGTAGGGGGAAAGCAGTAGTCGAGCGAATAAGTATGTCCGAATCCTTAGTATTCATAAAAGAGTAGGCGAGAATTACCTGGGTGATGTACTAATTCTCGCGAGATTCGGACACGCGTCTACTTAAAGTGTGTCCGAAACCGCCTACTTCACTTCAATATAGTAGGGGGAAAGCAGTAGTCGAGCGAATAAGTATGTCCGAATCCTTAGTATTCATAAAAGAGTAGGCGAGAATTACCTGGGTGATGTACTAATTCTCGCGAGATTCGGACACGCGTCTACTTAAAGTGTGTCCGAAACCGCCTACTTCACTTCAATATAGTAGGGGGAAAGCAGTAGTCGAGCGAATAAGTATGTCCGAATCCTTAGTATTCATAAAAGAGTAGGCGAGAATTACCTGGGTGATGTACTAATTCTCGCGAGATTCGGACACGCGTCTACTTAAAGTGTGTCCGAAACCGCCTACTTCACTTCAATATAGTAGGGGGAAAGCAGTAGTCGAGCGAATAAGTATGTCCGAATCCTTAGTATTCATAAAAGAGTAGGCGAGAATTACCTGGGTGATGTACTAATTCTCGCGAGATTCGGACACGCGTCTACTTAAAGTGTGTCCGAAACCGCCTACTTCACTTCAATATAGTAGGGGGAAAGCAGTAGTCGAGCGAATAAGTATGTCCGAATCCTTAGTATTCATAAAAGAGTAGGCGAGAATTACCTGGGTGATGTACTAATTCTCGCGAGATTCGGACACGCGTCTACTTAAAGTGTGTCCGAAACCGCCTACTTCACTTCAATATAGTAGGGGGAAAGCAGTAGTCGAGCGAATAAGTATGTCCGAATCCTTAGTATTCATAAAAGAGTAGGCGAGAATTACCTGGGTGATGTACTAATTCTCGCGAGATTCGGACACGCGTCTACTTAAAGTGTGTCCGAAACCGCCTACTTCACTTCAATATAGTAGGGGGAAAGCAGTAGTCGAGCGAATAAGTATGTCCGAATCCTTAGTATTCATAAAAGAGTAGGCGAGAATTACCTGGGTGATGTACTAATTCTCGCGAGATTCGGACACGCGTCTACTTAAAGTGTGTCCGAAACCGCCTACTTCACTTCAATATAGTAGGGGGAAAGCAGTAGTCGAGCGAATAAGTATGTCCGAATCCTTAGTATTCATAAAAGAGTAGGCGAGAATTACCTGGGTGATGTACTAATTCTCGCGAGATTCGGACACGCGTCTACTTAAAGTGTGTCCGAAACCGCCTACTTCACTTCAATATAGTAGGGGGAAAGCAGTAGTCGAGCGAATAAGTATGTCCGAATCCTTAGTATTCATAAAAGAGTAGGCGAGAATTACCTGGGTGATGTACTAATTCTCGCGAGATTCGGACACGCGTCTACTTAAAGTGTGTCCGAAACCGCCTACTTCACTTCAATATAGTAGGGGGAAAGCAGTAGTCGAGCGAATAAGTATGTCCGAATCCTTAGTATTCATAAAAGAGTAGGCGAGAATTACCTGGGTGATGTACTAATTCTCGCGAGATTCGGACACGCGTCTACTTAAAGTGTGTCCGAAACCGCCTACTTCACTTCAATATAGTAGGGGGAAAGCAGTAGTCGAGCGAATAAGTATGTCCGAATCCTTAGTATTCATAAAAGAGTAGGCGAGAATTACCTGGGTGATGTACTAATTCTCGCGAGATTCGGACACGCGTCTACTTAAAGTGTGTCCGAAACCGCCTACTTCACTTCAATATAGTAGGGGGAAAGCAGTAGTCGAGCGAATAAGTATGTCCGAATCCTTAGTATTCATAAAAGAGTAGGCGAGAATTACCTGGGTGATGTACTAATTCTCGCGAGATTCGGACACGCG